TCAATAATTATGCAAATTTTATACATTATGTGTATATATATATATATATATATATATATATATATATATATATATATATATATATATATATATATATATATATATATATATATATATACATATATATATATATATTATACTAATTTTAAATAACTAAAAGGTAGTAATAAATAATGCATGTACACCATAACATCTACTTAAAAAATATACCCCTGCTATAGCATTTGCAAGAAGTGTTTTACCGCAACCTGGTGCACCATGTAACAAGAATCCTCTTGGTGGTTTAATTCCTAGGGTTAAAAACACTTCTGGGTGTTTAAGGTGGAGGAGTAGTTTACTAACATCCTTCATAAAAAAATAGTTAAGTATTCTTATTAACACTTGTAAAAACAAAAACAAAAAAAAGTACAAAAAGATAATAAAAATCAAAAAAATGTTAATAAAAAAATATTAAAAAAATAACCTCTAAAGCGGATTCATACCCACCAATGTCTTTAAAAGTAATGTTTGAAGTAAATGCCTCAAATTCTAAAATCATTTAAATTAAATTTATTATATTTTAATGCAATATAATACTTATTGTTATTATTACTTATATTATTATTATTATATATACTATTTTATTAACATTATTGTTGTTGTTCTTGTTGTTTGTGCTTGTTTTGTTTCCGTCGTTGGTGGTGCTGTTATTACTTTTTTAATTGTGTATCAAATATACTGAGCAAATGTATTTGTGTAGTTTTTGAGTAGAATACACAAATCATATGAGCCATATAAAGTTGTATGGTGCAAGATACCATTTTATTTTGTCAAAATGAAAATTAAAAAAAGTCAAAACACTAAAACACTTACGATGTGATATGCATGGATTATGTAAATGGTTTTTCAGTTTTTTAATTACATTTTTCGTTTTATTCTGATAGCAAATTACTGTAATCAAAAGAATTAGATTTTTAAAGAAAAAAAAATCAGTCAAATTGTTTTATAATGCTGAGGGCATAAAATTTAAAACCTAGAAAAATAAATTTTTTCTTGAAATGCATTAAAATTTGGGATTAAAGTTGTTAAGTGATAAAAATTTGTAACTTTTTTTTTGTCTAGTTTTTTAATTTACTTTACGATCAAAAACTATAATTTTACTTAAATTCCTTTATCAAAACTGAATTTTAAAATTGAGTTTTGATAAAGGAATTTAAGTAAAATCAACATAAAAAAAAAAAAAATTAAAATACATAATTTTTTTTTTTTATGTTGATTTAGGTGCATTACGGTCTTATCACAGAGCACCGCGGAAAAGCATTTAATAGGAAGTTCACGCCTCCTTCCCAACCGATGTCGCAAAACTTGCCCAGAGGTGGGGTTTGAACCACGGATCTTACGTATTTGAGGCAAGTGCACTACCACTGTGCCACGGCTGCTCGAATATATGTGTATATATATATATATTTTATATAAATGTTTATATATATATATATTTTTTTTATTTATGTGTATATGTATATATATATATATATAAATATATATATATATATATATATATATATATATATATATATATATATATATATATATATATATATATATATATATATATATATATAATATATATATATATATATATATATATATATATATATATATATATATATATATATATATATATATATATATATATATATATATACACATATACACATATACATTGCTCTCAAAATTCTTCAATATTTTATATATATGTGTATATATATATTTTTTTTATATATGTATGTGTGTATATATATATATATAATGTAAAAACATATAATACATTATGTAAATACATAAAATACATAAAATACATAAATACATATATGTGTATTTTATATATATATGTGTAAATATATATATATTTTATATATATGTGTATATATATATTTTATATATGTGTATATGTATATGTATATATATATATATATATATATATATATATATATATATATATATATATATATATATATATATATATATATATATATAGATATATATATATATAGATATATATATATATATATATATATATATATATATATATATATATATAATATATATATATATATATATATATATATATATATATATATATATATATATGTATACATATTTTTTTATATACATATGTAAATATATATATATATATATATATATATATATATATATATATATATATATATATATATATATACACACACATATAAACATATATATTGCTCTCAAAATTCTTCAATATTTTATATATATGTGTATATATATTTTTTTATATATGTGTGTGTGTATATATATACAGTACTGGTCATAAGTTTAGAGCCACCCTATTTTTTTTAGTTTTTTGCAGATTATAAAGCCATAACCCCAGTGCAGCAAAATATTATATTACTGAAACATGCAAAATATATTGTTATAATATTTTAGTACCAAATTAAGTATTAAAATATTAATAATGAGTAGGTCCACCTTTATTTTTAATTACTTCAGCCAACCGGGCTGGCATAGTGTCAACAAGCTTCTTGCAATCAACAGCAGTAATACTTGTCCAAGCGGCAGAAATAAAGTCCCAAAATTCATGTTTATTACTAGCACGTTTGCCTGCACAGAGGCGATCAATTTCATCCCACAAATTTTCTATGGGGATCAAATCCGGTAACTGGGGTGGCCAGTGCAAGACTTGAACACCATTAGCAGCTAGAAAATCTTTAGCCACTTTGGACGTGTGCTTAGGATCATTGTCTTGCTGAAAGATTCATGGAAAAGTTGCAGGAAACAATGCTGTTGCTGAAGGTAGCAAATGCTTTCGCAAAATATCTCTATACATGGCACCATTCATGATTCCTTCTACCTGATGCAACTGGCCTGGCCCAAAAGATGACATACAACCCCACACCATGATGCTACTACCACCATGATGCTACTACCACCATGCTTTACAGTTCCCTGCAAACATTCCGGTTTATATGATTCATTTTGATGACGCCAAACGAAAATACGTCGAGAATCATTACCAGCTAAATTAAATTTGGACTCATCAGACCACAACACCATTTGCCAATCAGTAACACTAAAATGCAAAAATTTGTGTGCAAATTTGAGACGCTTCTGCTGATTAATTTAGGAGATAAAAGGCTTTTTAATAGCAACACGACCATTCAAACCTTGTTTATTCAAACTACGACGAACAGATTTTGGAGATATTAAAGGTCCACCAACATCATGCCACTGTCGAGACATAATTTTGGAAGAAAGGCGACGATTTGTTATGGCCAGGCGTTTTAAGGTTCTATCTTGACGTAAAGTTGACATTCTAGGACGGCCACCTCTGGGTTTGTCCGTGAATGTATTTGATTCCAAATGTTTCCTATATGCATTTTGTACAGCATGGCAACTTTTTTTCAATTTTTAGGCTATATCATTTAGGCTTAAGCCACTAATTTTCTTTAAAGCCACCACCTAGGCCCGAACAGTTGGTTTTTAGCTTTGCCCATTTCAGAAAATATTTTCACTTAAACTCTAAAATAAAAGCGAAAATAACATTAAATACATTATCTAACTAGTGTACACATTCCAAAAAGTAGCATAAATAACAACTGAATTAACCAAAACATTGATACCAATACATCATAAAGTTACCAAAATATGTTAAAATGTTCAAAAATTGGCTATAATATTAAAGAACTCATGAAAATCAATATTTATATTTGGTTTAATACACAATTATTCATGAAAATCAATAGATTCGTACCTTGTCAAATTACTATATGCGTTGTTATGCTTATAATGTTAACATCACCATACTTATGCCGCAAAATGATGAAAAAAACAGGTGGCTCTAAACTTATGACCAGTACTGTATATAATGTAAATACATAAAATACATTATGTAAATACATAAAATACATAAATACATAGGACTCAATTTAGATTCAAAATCACAAACAGCAGACAAAAACAATTATTAAGCTGATACTTTCTATTTGAAATAAAGGAACAAAAGTTATTATTATTATTTATATTTAAAAAAAATATCTTGCACTAAAAAATGTTGGAGACTGTTGTTTTAAGACATCATGAATAATAATGTTTTATTACAACAATGTCCAAATTTATTAAGACATTATGAATAATAATGTTTTATTACAACAAAAAGTATATACATCGTAATATATGTATTTATAAATATGGCATTTTTGAATGTATCAAAAAATCCAGACAATGTTATTGTACTCAAAAACTGCTACTTTTGAATTTTTATATTTTTTATCAGATGTCAACAACATGTCAACAAAATGCCAACAAAATGTCAAAATGTCAATAAAATGTTAACAAAATGTCAATTAATGTTAATAAAATTTTGTTATGACAAATTATGTCACTGAAATTTTATGTAAACAAAATTTCATTTAAGTGTCAATAAAATTTGTAATGTTGTTAAAATTTTATTTCAATAAAATGTCACAAACTTATAGTTAATTTGTATACACCATTTCTATATTAAAAATTAATTTTATAGCGAGCTTAAAAAAAAAAAGCTTTTTTTTTACTTTTTTCTTTTACTGCAGACTTCCTTGTAGATTTAACAACAGAGTTTACAGGAGTATTAGACTTTAACAATTGGTTAGTTTCAAGTAATGAAGTTAAAGATTTTTTTGGAAGATCCTGTTGATCACTCTCAAAAGATTTCTTTTGAAGAACTGATGGATCACTTTCAGACTGTAAAGAAATTATTTTGTTACTAGAAATTAGCACATGTTCTTTAGGCTCCAAAGTTTTTTTTGATAAAACAGATATAGAAGAATCTATTAATTGGTTAGTTTGTGGTAGACTACGGGTTTCTGGAAGACCATTAGCTTTAGGTAGTAATTTCACTTTTTCAACATCATTAGTTTCTACCTAAAATTTTAAAAATATGTTACATAATCAGGCTAATACGATATACAAATATGTTCTGATACAAAACAAACTTACGTTGGATTGTGCTTTATCAGTATGCAATTTTGAAGCGCTTTCTGTATTTAATAAAATGTTATATTAAATTATTATAGTAAAATATTATGATTGGTTGAAATTTGGGCAACTTTAAATTGATAATTGGTGATGGAAAAAAACTTTTTAGAACACAGAAAAACTTACTGTAAAAAAGATCACTTGATGCTTCAAGGTAATTGATTCTATTATCATTCAAAGTGTTATATATCTGATAGATTTAAGTACATTTAAGACAATAAATCTATTTTCAGAGCTCTTCTTTCATAACAAATCAAACTTTGATTTGTTATGAAAGAAGAATTCAGATCTATACATGACTTAATGCTTAGAATAATGACTTCTCCCTCTAGTTAAAAAGCATAAATAACAAAATTTATTTTGGTCACATCTTCCATCGATTCATAATTAAGGGAACACTAAAAGAGGTAAATGTGCAAATAATGTTAAAAAAGCTGTGAATTGGGTGGGGAAAACTTTACATATGATTTAACTAATTTAGATGTCATAAAGTTGAGACTTTTGTTGTTGAAACAAAAACTAAATATTTACACATCATTAAAAAAAAAGTTAGAACTTATAAGTTGCTTTAAAAAACTAAATATTTACACATCATTAAAAAGAAATTTTGAAATTGATAAGTAGTTTTAAATAAAATGCAATTTAAAATTGTTCAAATTTCAGCCCATCATAGTGATATTGCACTTTTATTGCTTTAAATTTTAAATTAAAAAAAAATATAGATTAAAAAATCAAAATTATACTGTTGTTGTAAGTGGGTGTAGATGTAGTTGCTTGTGCTAAAGGTGGGGGCACAGTTGTTTTATAAAGATTCTGCATAGAACTATTTATGTAGTTGCTATCCTAAAAATAAAATCAAAGTTTAAAAACTAATATAATTTTCAAGTTGCTGCAACTAGAGAGCTGAGAGAAGGGAAAGGGTTTTAGTTCTCTGATTGTAAACATCAATATAATACTGGGTCTTGTAAAGACTAAATAAAAAATAAAAATTTATAAAGAAACCTTATATTCAACTAACATGCTCTCATCAATACTAGACTCACTATCATTACTTAGCTGGTCATCCAAATAGCTTGAAAAATGATCATCACTATAAAAAAATTTTAGTATTTTGGAGAATCAACTTTATAGTTATAATTGAAAATGTAATGGACTTTGAATATGAAAACCTTCTTGACATTTTTAACTTTTTTGCTAAGTGCTTTTCTTCAAGAAATGAAGATTTGTCTGTCTTGCTCATTCCAAGATTATCATTTAATGCTTTTTGGACAGAATGTTTAAGTGCATTTCGCTTTTTTCTTGAATACTCTCTAAAAAAGACAAATATTTCTGTAAATAAATGATATTAAAAATTTTACAATAATTCAGAACTCAAAATAATAAAAATGATGTAAAAAAAAATTTATGATCAGTTAACTCGAATTTAAGATCAGATAACAAGTATTTATGATTATGAAAAAAGTTCTTGCTACAAATACAAGACAGTGAAACTAGACTAAAAAAACTAGACTAAAAAAACATGGAATAGCAGCGTTTGAACCTTTGGTTAAAAAGGGTGATCAAAAGTTGTTGATAGTTGGTAACACTAAGTTATTTTTAATTTAAAAAAGAATCTTTTATAAAATTGTCTTTACATATAAATACTCTGCAAAAATGGTAATTGAACTTTCTTTTATAGCAAGAGTTTATTTATCACCATAAATTGTCACCATGAGTTATCGCTATAGGTTGTCACTATAAGTTGTCATCATAGTTTGTCACTGAAGATTGTCATCTGCTAACATAGGCTACAATAATATTTTCCAGATTGATTTAACATTGACTTCAAAAAAAAAATTTCAAAAAGAAATAAAATTCCTGAAGCTAAGCAGTCCAAGGCTAAGAAGTCTGAGGCCAAGAAGCAATTAGTATGAAGTTTTTTTTTTTCTTTCAAAAAATCAAATGTCTGAGGCTAGGAAGAAATCTTGATTATTGCAGTAATTTTTTGAAAAAACTTATTTAAATATTTCCAAATTAAAATATATTAATACAATAAATGTTATTTAAATTCTGCTAAAACAATATTGGTCTGATATTCAATTTTTATTTTTATGCAAATATTGACATTTTTAATTGCTTGTAAACATGTGTAACTGCATCAGATACAAATAAAAGCCCTTCAGTGTAGCAAGGAATGTTACTGTGATAAGTTAAAGAGTGAGAATATAAGAGCAAACAAAAACTATATTAGACTACATAGACTATTTAAATGTTTATTATTTGATACAATTCTAGTATAATAAATCGTACATATAATTTGTTCTCATTCCACTAATAAACAATAAAGCATAATAAGTGTTTATTTGAAGTTATCAAGTTTAACTTTAACAATGACAGAAAAATAAAAATCACTTACGAAAATGATGTCTGTAAATAGTCAACTATGTCATCAACATCTGAAGAGTAATTTCTCCCATTTTCAAAATACTAAAAAATTAGATTAGTTACTGAGTATATAAATATATATAGCCCTCGGATTTAGGGTCAGCATTTTGCAATACTGATCTAGAAGTGTTTGAGGTCATCAAAAAATCGCTGACTTTGTTTCTGTATTTTATAGAAAAACCTTTGATTCATTTTTTACCGGCTTGATGCCTACCTCTAAAAAATAAAGATTGGCAAATTATTGCTGACCTCATTTTTCCTAATTCCTAATACATACATATATATATAAATATATATATGTATATATATATATATATATATATATATATATATATATATATATATATATATATATATATATATATATATATATATATATATATATATATATAAAATACGACATTATATCTCCTTTTAAAAAATGGTACAGGCGATAAAGCAGCCGTTTTTATATTTTTCCTTTTTTCTTTTTTTGACAACGGAGCACACTACACTGTAGCTTTATATTTTAACTTTTTTTTTTTTGAATAACATGGCTGATGATTGCCTTTAAACTATTAGTTCCATAAAAAGTTGTATTTTCTTTGTTTATAAATTTATATATAGCACTCTATTAAATAATATAAATAAATTTATTTAATTATTATTGATTACTTTAATTATTGATTACATGTGTACAAGAGTTTTTGTATTTTATTTGCAAATAAAAAATATAATATAATATTTTCTCCAACAGTTGAGACTTTTCTCAAGTCATTTAAACAATGGAGAAAGTAAATGTTAACTATTTTATCAAGAAAATACCATCAGAAAAAAACTATAAATTAAAGTTATTAAAAAAATGGTAGAACTTATAAAAAAGAATACTCTTCAATGTATGTCAAAATAATATGTAAGTCAAACAAAATATTTACAAAAGCTGATAAAACATCAAACTTATATAAGTTATTTAAACTCCAATGCAATTAACTGCTTACCAACTCAATTACAACATTCGCAAAGAAACAACCTGTTAAATATGGAGGGGAAAGTTATGTCAAGAAATCATGAGGTTTTTAGCAGAATGGAAATTAATACAAAATCTAATTGCTTTATCACTTAAAAGGATCAAAAAGACAATTTTTTAAACAAACCTACTGTCTGCCTTTTAAATCAAGCAATAAAATGAAATTGGAAAAATTAATAAATTTATTTTATCAAATGTTATTGCTGAGCTAAAAAATTTTATGTCATAATCAATTGAAAAGCACACAAAATGTTGTAGATTGGTTCAATGATTTTTATCCTTCTATCAATAAAAATCTTTTGAATTACGGAATTAAATTTGCTGACAAATACGTAACAATTAAAAACAAAGATAAACAAGTCCAAAAATTGTTGTTGTTCAATAATGAGCCACCTGGATTAAAAAGAACAGTAGTTTTTTTGATATTGCAATGGGTGCTTTTGACAGGGCAGAGATATGTGAGCTTGTCTGAATTTTTTTTACTTCAAACTACCCCAGCATTATAAAAAAATAGATCTCGGTTTATGCCTAGATGATGAGTTAACAGTTTTTTAAAATGTTAGTGGCCACCTCATGGATACAATAAAAAACATATTATTCGAATTTTTAAAAATAACAATCTTTTTATCTCTATAAAATGCAACATGAAAGTTGTGAACTTCCTTCATGTAACACTTCACCTCAATGACCAATCTTTTAGACTGTTTTGTAAACCAAATGATGAACTAAATTATAAAAATGTTGGTTTCAATCACCCTCCTAGCATATTAAAACAACTTCTTCATTCTAAAGAATTAAGGCTTTCAGCTAATTCATCTAATGAAGCTATTTTTCGAAACTCTGCCCATTTGTATCAGGATGCATTTAAACAATCTGGTTACAAATTTAAACTTAATTATATTCCAAAAATCATCCAACATCTATCAAAAAACTGTATTATATACATATATTAAATATGTTTCTACCAAAATTGGAAAACTATTGTAGATCTTACAATCTCACAATAAACAATGCAATTTATGTCTATATGAAAACATAATACTTATTTATTATTATATTTATTTATTATCAATATTAACTTTATTAATTAAATTATTATTATATTTATTTATTTATTAACAATGTTAATTAAATAATAAGAATAAGTTAGTATCTATATGTAAACATGAACGAAAAATTTCTTCTTTTAATATACAAGAATAGTAATAATATATGCCAGCCATTTTTACATTTATCTTTTTTCTTATCCTTTTTGTAATTTTTTTTTTTTTTTTGACAACAAAGTAAACACCACTGTAGCTTTATATTTCAACAGTTTTTTGTTTCTTGCTTTGAATTACATAGCTGATGATTGCCTTAAGGCATGAAACTATCAGTACCGTGAAAAGGTGAATTTATTAGTTTATAAATTTAAATTTATATACAATTTATTTAACATCTTCGCTTCAAACAAGGCTGCAAGCAACCACTATTGGAGTTGGATGTTACTGAAAAAGAAAAGATGAAGATTGCAGAGCAAAATAACAATTGAAAAACTACTTAAAAGATTGCAAATTATATGAATCAGGAAAGCAAAATGAAGTCACTGAATTCAGAAGAAATGATGTTTGAGGAAAAAAACTAGAGCAATAAGAGTTTTTGGAGCACTTAAGAACAGTCACAGAAAATGAGACTTTATTGAATGACAAGTAACACGAGAATGAATTTTAGTAGATGGCACAAGAGACACTAGCTCTTTATAGCAGTGTTTATTATAGTATTTGTAAAAAAGAAAAAGAGAAGCAGCATTACAACGATGTGATAATGGTTGGAGGTTGGCTGCAAGAGCAGGTCACACTATGTTTACAATGCTTTTTTTTAAACTTGTGTATATATATATATACATATATATATATATATATATATATATATATATATATATATATATATATATATATATATATATATAAATATATATATATATATATATATATATATATATGGGCAACACCGCAACGGGAAATGAAAAAGTAGTCAAATTATATATATATATATATATATATATATATATATATATATATATATATATATACACATACACACACATATATATATATATATATATATACATATATATATATATATATATATATATATATATATATATATATATATATATATATATATATATATATATATATATATATATATATATATGCAACACCACAATGGGAAATGAAAAAGTAGTCAAATTTTATTCTCTTTTTTGTCAACTTTTAGCAAATGAACATTGATATAGACACATGAAAATAGAGATGCAGAGTCTCAAAAGGACTCTGGCTTTAGAGTTTCCAGAAGCTCTACACATGTTTATTGACTTATGATCTGCTATAAGAAATAAACTCATGAGATTTAATGACTTAAAACTTATTGTTTTTAAGCCTGGGGTCCTGGAGTCCTGGATTATACCTAGGACTCGAAGTTCAAAAAATGATTGTTCATCTAACCTTAGTCTTAATTTTTTTCCTATTAGCAGTCCATAAACTTATTTATATTTTTAGAGCTCCTGGATGCCAAAAACTAGGATAAAGTAATCTTTTTGTGACTTTCAAATCCGGAGTCCATTTTGGCACTCCAGATTTGAAAGTCACAAAAAGTCAAAAAAAAAAATTTGGGACATCCCTGCATGAAAGTTTATTTAAAATATACCTTTAGTACTAAAATTAATTTATTTAAGTTATTTTTATGCTTCCAAAAGTTACAGTTTTTCTAATTGTCGCATGATAAAAAAAGTATTATAGGAAAATATTATTTAACCATGAATTTATTTGCATAACCAGAATTAATTTAGCATGAAAGGAAGCTTACATGTTTAAACTGTTGTTGGTCAGATTTTATACTTTATAAAATATATATTTCTTCTTTCATTATTTAAGAAATAATGAAAGAGCTTTTGCAATTTTCATGTAACATAAGTTAACAAAGACATGATAAAGTTTTGTTTTTTCCAAAATTTATTTCAAAAGCTTGAGTTTTTTATTAATATATGCAAAAAATTATTAAACTTTACGTTTTTATAAATAAAGTTTTAAATAATGGTGCTTAATTAAAAGGCAAGCCTTCCCAGGAAAGGCGTGCGGTTTTTCGTCTTGTATGACCACACTCGATTATAATATTTTAGAAAACGTGAACACGGCCGTTTGCAAGTTTTATAATAAAGCTGAAAAGGTTTCAAAAACAAAAAAACAAAACTAACAAAATAAAAAGAGATTGAAATAAAAAAAAATAAAAAAAAATTAATAATTTAAATAATTTGTGTTCTGTTTTTATTTTTGTTTCTTTAGAGTTACATTCAGCAACAAAATTAGATAAGGCGAAGCAAAACAAAAATCAGTTTAAAGTCTATAATAAAAAGAATGATTTTCTTTTTCTTAATTTTTTTTAAAAGGATAGCAAAAATACAAATTGCAATGTGTTTGTAAAATTATTTTTATAACTTTAACGTAATAACAAGGGTTGAATTAAGCGAATGCAAAACGCAAAATCTGGAAAAATATCTAGTATTCAAAATTTTAGTTTATACAAAACTGTGTTCCTTGTTTTTAAGGGGGGAATCAACTTAAATTTGTTAGCGAAAAAATAAAAAATAAAACAAACTTACGATTACAAAAGTATTAACACTCTATTCACTAGCTGCATTACAAAAGTAATAACACTATAATAGTGTTATTACTTTTATAACGCACTTATAACTTCTAAAATTCATTCTTTGTTCAAGCAACACTAGTATTCCCAAATTTTAATTGAAGTAGAAAAATATCTAGAACAATAAAGCGGATGTTCAAATAATATTAAAACTAAAGTAACTTGTAAAGTAATAAAATCGTGACATACAATTTTATGAAAACGTATCATATTCAAAGTTTTAGCATTATGAAAATTGTTACTAATGGACCGTAAAAACGCGCGTCAATTTTAAAATTAACCAATAAAAAATTTTTTTTGGTTGATTTTAAAATTAACACACATTTTTACGTAACGTTTTTCATAATGCTAT